GTCCGAGGCTGAGTTTGTCCTCCTCAAGCTCCTTTTCTCTCTTTGCAGGTGGCGGAGTGACCCTTTTTATTGCCTTGTATGATTATGAAGCCAGAACAGAAGACGATCTGACATTCGTCAAAGGAGAGAAATTCCATATCATCAACAACACGTGAGTTTTGGGTTCCGACAGAATGGGAACACGGGGCCTATTCCTTCCTGAAGCTAAACAGCATTGATTTTTCTGGATGGCGACTACCAAGCAAATGACATTGCTTTCAAATTTCTTCATGGCGGAATAGAAAGAAAGAAAGAGGAACTCTCGGTCTTAGCCAGGAGGGGAAGAGGCCTGGCTTTCTTTAGCTTCTGTCTGTGGAATTGCACACCTGGGATAACTACGGGCTGAGTTTAGCTTGATACGCGCGCGCGTGTGTGTACGGGTATGTCCATGTGCAACGCAAGCAACAGCATGTGAGTTGCCGGGAAATCTCTGCTCCTGTAGCTTGCACAGATTTCACTGTTGATTCAGGCTGCCCTGCAGGTATGAAAAGAAGGCAGAGACCCCAAGGGGTTTTGGCCAATTATCCCAATATGGTCCACTCCAGAGGTAGTATTCACCAGTTCTGGAGAACCGGTAGTGGAAATTTTGATTAGTTTGGAGAATCAGCAAATCCCACCTCTGACTGGCCCCTGTGTCTATTCTCTGCCGCCCATTGAGTCCCAGCTGATTGGCTGGGTCTTCTTTTGTTGCCCTGCACAGGACAACGGAGCTGGAAAGCAGGTTAGTGGGATGGGGAGGGAATGGAGATTTTGCAATATCCTTCCCCTGCCACGCCCACTAAGCCATGCCCACAGAGCCGGTAGTAAAAATGTTTGAATCCCACCACTGGTCCACTCTTGACTGACCAATAGTGCAGTAAAAGGTCGATTAGTTCTTCAACAGGTGCTTTCCGTTCCTTTTGAGTGAGCTGCTGTCTGGATTTTGTGCCCTTTTGCTGTTGAAATTCCAAGCAGGGGGTTACTGATGTTGTGTCCCCCGCCCTCTTTTTTGCTACAGAGAGGGTGACTGGTGGGAGGCACGCTCCCTGACCACGGGAACCACCGGCTACATCCCCAGCAATTACGTGGCTCCTGTGGACTCGATCCAAGCAGAAGAGTAAGTACGGGGGGAAGGAAGCAGGTTGGAGGGGGCGTTTAAGGGAAATCTCGCAGATATACTGCATGCAGATGTACTGGGGAATTCTGGGAGTTGGTCCACGTGTCTTAAAAGTTGAGAAACACTGATCCATAACCTCCCTTCTTTCTTCCCAGGTGGTACTTTGGGAAGATTGGCCGGAAGGATGCTGAGAGGCAGCTGCTGTGCCATGGCAACCCCCGGGGGACCTTTCTCATTCGCGAGAGCGAAACCACCAAAGGTACCACTGAGGTGTCACCCTGTTTCCCTTGTCTTGTGGCAAAAGCCATTGGGGGACAGAACTGTCTGCGGTGCTGCCAGATTTTTGCCTTCCTAGCTTAGGCTACTGCCTTCTCCTCTGCAAGAGTCCCATCTAGTGCCTGAAGAAAAAGTATTCTCTTGCATTTTTTTTTGCCTACCTGGTCTCACTAGATTCAATAATTTTAAAAAGTTGCTTTAGAAACATCAAAGAAGATGAGAAGGTCAGTAATATAGTGTTGTGGCCTGTTGGCCCCCGGCTTCGAGGATCCTGTGGGAGGTCAGACCTGTGTCACTTTGCACAATGCAAGGACTCTAAGCTTGGGCCCCTCTTAACACTTCCCTCCATCTAGCTGGAGATCCCGCCACTTCTAGAGATTAAACAAAAAACAGTGTCAGAGTTCTAAGTAATAATCCCATAGCAAGCAAAACTCCGAGGCAGGTAGATTTCTCAAAGAATAGTTTTATTATATTGGCACAATTCTGGTGAAAACCAACTCTGAAGGTTCCCGCGGTTTTCACCTAATTAAAAGTAAAAGTGTTTCCCCTTCCCCAAACTATCAGGCACATGGTCCAATCAAAGTACCGTTTGGTTGCTTAGTAACATCACTCCTCCCTCTGACCAGGTATGAGAATGTCCTTGATTCCCAGGAGGAAGTATTTTGTTTTGGCTACAAAACTCCAGCTATCTCTATCCCCCCCTCTCTATCCCTCAGCTCCAGTGTGGCAACACTGAAGCTTCAAAATGGTTTCGGTCAGGTCGGCTTCAGAGTTGACAAATGGAACAACTTTCTTGGGTTAATTGGGCTAACAATTTGCCTCCAGAAGTTATGAATGCTCCAACACTAGAAGTTTTTAAAAAGATGTTGGATAACCATTGGTCTGAAGTGGTGTAGGGTTTCCTGCCTAGGCAGGGGGTTGGACTAGAAGACCTCCAAGGTCCCTTCCAACTCTGTTATTCTATTCTATTCTAATTATAAGCCTATATCAGACCGAAGGGCACACGAGTGACTTCCAAGAGTCTCTTTTGTTATATCACCATCTACATTCTATTAACTGAGGTCCTCATTTGGGGAGGTAAGGAAGATGTTGACCGTTTACTATCCCAGTGAGGTCAAACTACAATCCCCAGCATGCCATGCGGTTGGCCTCTCTGGCTGAAGCTCCTGAGAATTGGAGCTCAGTAATACGTAATGCCAAAGTCAGGTGGCCTCCACACAACCTGTTTCTGCTTCCCTTCTCTTTTCCTAGGTGCCTACTCATTATCTATCCGGGATTGGGACGAGATGAAGGGAGACCACATCAAGCATTACAAGATCCGGAAGCTGGACAGCGGTGGCTATTACATCACCACCCGGACACAGTTTGAGACTGTGCAACATCTGGTGCAGCATTACAGAGGTAAAGAGTGATGGATTCAAGAGAGGGGCAGGTGTTAAGATTGGTATGGGATAGATCAACATGTCAGCCTCTTAAGGTTGTCCAGATTAGGAGGCAGACTCCACAAAAGGACTATAGAACTAAGCTTTATTGACACAGGCAATAATAAAAGATCCTTGCAAGTCTGATTATGTTTTTCCTCTCCTCCTCCTTGTACCCCAAAACACTGCGGTGTTTCTCAATCTTGCTGACTAGAGAATTCTGGGAGTTGAAGTGCACACATCTTGAGGCCACCAGAGTTGAGAAACACAGTTCTAATTAGCCAGGGAAGAGTCAGCCTGAGCATCTTCCTAATCTCAAGGAATTCTTTTTGGTAACAACTTCTGAATATTTTTTTCCAAGGATATCTCCATGGCTCTTTACAGCCAGAGACTGGCAGGAGAATGAGGGAAGATCGGGTGCCAATTCCTGCATTTTGGGGGTTCTCCTTGGGATATTTTGAGGGTGATTGTGGAAGGTTATTTAATTTTAAAAAAACGTTAGGACTCGTGTTTTCAGGAGCCCTTTACACCAGGGGTCTCCAACCTTGGCCACTTTAAGCCTGGAGGACTTCAACTCCCAGAATTCTCCAGCCAGCAAAGCTGGCTGGAGAATTCTGGGACTTGAAGTCCACAAGTCTTCAAGTGGCCAAGTTTGGGGACCTTCTCC